CGCATGCGTTGTGAAGCTGTTCTGACTGCTGCATTCGGGCCTGTACCTTTCAATCTTCTGGCTTTGTGACTGGTGAAAAGTTCAAAGTGTTGGATTCCTTACTTGGCCTGAGCTGATGCCGACTGACACTGACTCTGCTTTCTTGCTTGCCCTTGAATGAAGAAATCGGGTCGAGAAAGTTCTACTCCCGGGCCTGTGACGTGGCTGATTATATCGTGACGACCACTTGATTAGACGAATGGCCCACAATGCATACAGGGGTCTTTAGCATGTACGGCAGCACAGTTGATCGCTCTACTGAATTGGAGTATGCACTAAGTGATGACTCAGTAATGCTCCAAGGCACAGTCAACGTCTATTCGTTTGCGTGACCACCTTCGGATTGTACTTTGAATCTCCAGTTGGAGTAGACTTTGTTTGGCCTCCAGCTCAGATCCCAACGGAGGACCAATGGGCACTAGAGGATGACTTTTCGAATGATTTTAAAAACTCGTATTGTTCTATTCTAATCTTAAACACGTTCCTGGAATTGGGCCATTGGTTCCTCTTTCGGGATGTCTCAGGCCGTTCAAGTAGCTCGGGCAGAGGTAATTCGGATCCAGCCAAGATCCAGCTCCGAACATCTCGAACTGGATCGAACCGCTTGAGGGGAGGGAAAAGCCGTTACAAATTTACACAATTAATCATAACTCCAACAAAACAGAAAATGTGGGATAGAACAACGACCAGAAACCCAGGTACGCTTGGCACACACGATTCTCTCGAAAAGCGCGATTTCATCGACAACTTGGAACGGGCCGGCTATGCGGTTCCGTTTCTTTCGTATATCGCGGAGAACACATCACGCGACGCGCCGGCAGCTATCTGTGCGTTGCTTGTAGGTTGTCGCTACCAAAACTTCAAATTGAACACAACGTGATGTTTTTCGGTAAAATAATCATGAAGAAAACGCCGCTGGATACGTATTAGGGTCTAGTTCAATTAATTCGGCTATCCGCGAGGCACGCGGCGTCCCTCACATATATTTAGCATGTCAACACCAGGCCAACATCAGAACGGTAAGTCAAGAACTCGAAAGCCGTTTTGGTGGGGAGATCGCACCGAGTATATCATTCAAGCTTTGGAAACCGATTCGGCATCGTCGAGACCGTTTGATTGCCAATCGTTTGCCTGGTTACTTTGCTGGATGGTATACTGTCCGCGCCCAGAGTTGCCGTGCTCTATAAATAAGAACGAGGATGGAATCCCGTCGTGATCATCCCTGGCCTCTTCCCGCCTAAAAAGACTCGGCTCTTACCAGCGCATTTCCACCAATACGATTTGTCTACTTTACCCCCATGGTAGCAGAATTTCCGGACGACATCTTCCTCCTGATCTTCATGGAACTCGACTTGAGAGATATCCAACCAGTTCGACTGGCAAGTGTCCCTTCCTCACTGTTGTGCAACCGCAAACTCATGCTAATCCTATACTCTAGACTTGCGCCAGATTCTTGCACCTCACCAAACAGAAAAGCTTCTGGCAGCGGCTTCTCCAGACACACATCAACAACCACGTCCCTATCCCGGGATATAGAAACTTGAGGATCGAGACAGCCACAGCCGAGCAGCTCGAGAACCTCGTCAAAGACGCTCAGAGGCTTCACGAGAACTGGACGTCTGCCTCACCCACGGCTAAGTGGAACCTAACTACACAAGCCAGCACCACACATCACGCGCAGGTCGTGCGTTTGCACTTTCTGGAGCTCCAAGCGCGCAAACTGCTCGTGACCCTGTCCCTGCTCCGAGATGCTCCCCACCAAAGATTCCTGATCCAAGCATGGGACATCTCTACAACATCGTCCCAGCTAACATGCGTTGCACAACAAGAGATACCAGACTTCAACAGCATGGCCATCAACGACACCATCCCAACTTCCCAAGGGCCGACGCAGTCGGCTGGTATAATAGCTATCCATGCATCCAATTCGTAAGTCCCAATTCCGCTAACAACATCGTTTCAAAAGTTACTCACATGGAGATGTACTCCCACCGGTTACACACCACCTTCTGCTTCATACCCGTGTCGGCACTACAGCATTACAGTCTACGGGCTTACTCCCCATCCGCAGTCACCCTCAAACGGCTTTGGCGTGGTCGCCAGGGTTCCCATCCCAACCAAACGCCTTCATCTTCTCTCCGGAAGTAAAGTCCTCTCCAGCGACGAGCAGGAGCGGCTCTACCTCTGGGATATTCAACGGCCGCAAGTCGCCTTGCAGTTGCGCAATGTCGAAGCAGGGCAGGTGGGTCCTCATTTCCGTCGAGTGAGGACTGAACGACTGAACGTTGGCGTCGGTTGACAATGACAGCATCAAGCCGTGCTGGCAGCAATCCTTGAAGACGACTGCATCATCGTTTTCCGGGTGATGACGCTCGAGGTATATCCATTGCCAAGCCCAGAATTCGAACAGAGCACAGTCATCGAAGCCGCTGTATGCCATCGCTGGCAATGGAAGCTCGACAGTATCGCCGTCACGAAGCGATGCCAAGGATCGACGTCAACAGCTGCATCTAGATCGTCTCCTTCCCCGTCCGGTGCTTCTTCGTCTGCCTCGTCGACGAGAGCGACAACCCCGATTGCGTGTCTGATCAGGTTCACTGGCTTCTTCCCATGGGTTAGTGAGCTTGCAGTTACCTTGCTGAGGCGAGGGTTTCGCTGACTGGTTTATCGAATAGCCATTCAATCTCCTTCACGAGTTCGTCCTGAGCCCTGAGCCCACCTTCCAGGCCGAGACCGGTGGCATTAGCGTAGAAAACTCGCCATATCGCTTCCCTCCCATTCTCCGTCAAACCATCGCAGCACCAACGCGGTTATTCTCGCCCACGGATGCGGTTCTTGGGCCATATGGGACAACGATCTGGATTGATAACCATACCGAAGATTATTTCAACCGTCCAGACCATGGTCAGAGGCTTGCTTCCAAGGTGACTAGGCCTGGAGTGGGTGACGCGGGACAAGATGGGGTGGATGAGCAAGTGGACTTTGAACAGGACTTGTCTGAACAGACCGCAACGACGATGGCGAGTTCGGTTTTGTTGTACAACGATATTGATAACTGGTCCAAGGTGGGCATGGATGAGGAAGAGGGTGTTGTTGCGATCGGGAGGTTGGATGGTGGCATAACAGTCCTTTGGTACAGGTAAAAGAGAACTCGTGAGATCATGGTATTCATCCGAGTCAGCGACGTGCATAGTTTACAGTATGTTACGGACGGTTGGGTGGAAAACAAAACAGGACTTAGCTAGGCACAAAGGCTTTCTGAATAATGACTATTATACACATTCGTGCCAGCGTATTGATGGTACAATGGCAGAGCAGTTTATGGCGTTGCGACAAGAGCCTGTGCGTTAAATCAGTATGGTGGGTCGGACGGGTAACATATTTTGCTTACCGCAGAAGGAACGAAACCCAAGTCTTTAAGAGTCTTCGAGAAGTCGCCAACGGCGAAGGTTTTCCTGGGAACGCTATCAGCACTTGTTGTCAAAGAACTATTGGAATTACCTTGGGAAGTTCTGTGTAAAGGTAACGTTGTCGACATCGATGTCTGGGGAATGAGATGCGACGAACTCTGCAAGTTCGCGCAATGCTAATGTCAATTGTATTAGCTCCAGACGATCTGGTACGGAGATAAACGTGCGATCTCACGAGCTTCGGCGGGCAGTGTGGTAGTCAAGGGGGGTCCCCCAGTCGACATGCGAATCTGTAAGCGGGCATGGGTGTGTACTTTGGGTGTACCACTTGCTACTGCCTGTGCCGCAGGTGCAGGAGCGGAGGTACTCGGTGCATCAACGATAGCCCTGCCTTCGCGAAGAGCTTTCTCTCGAGCTGCCTTTTCTGCACGAGCCTTCTTGTCGGCTTCGATTTGGGCTTTAACTGCAGCTCTAGCCTTGGCGTCTTCGATCTTCTCTACATGTAGGAAGGTGAAGTGAGCAATGGAATTGCTGTTGAGTTAGTACTAACTACGAGACTTACCTCGCTTCTTAGCCTCCACTTCTTTGAGTATTTCTTTCTCTTTGAGTTCTTCTTTGAGTTTGTTCATGTCCTTTCAAATTGTACTGTGAATTAGCATGGGAATGAGCAGGGGAGGATTATGTGTCTGTACCGTGCCCTGTTTCCTACGAATCAGCTCGTTGGCTCTATTCTCTTTGGCTTCTTCCTCTGCCTTCCTAGCCCGTTTTTCGGCCATCTTTACCCTGAGCTCCTCGAGTTTCTGTTTCTTCTCTTCCTCAGTAAGTGGCTTGATCTATTCATAATAATATCATGAGCCAGAGTGTAAAGGATGTATATTTCTCGTAACGCACCTCTTCCGTCGACTCCTCGAATTGATCATGTCCACTCTTTTCAGCGTGGTAATTGGCTAGACCTGTATTCTTGAAGGTCTTTCCACATTGCGAACATTTAATACTCTGCGGACCTCGACGTCAGTGACCATAGGCGATGGTTAAAGCCAGGACTAAGGAACCTTGGCTTCAGCGTCGGCCGACCCAGACGCCCCCTTCGCAAGCCCCATAGCCCTCAACGCTTCAAGATCTTCGTCATCGTCAACATCCATTCCATCTGCCGGTCTACTGCTTGAGGACTCGTTAACCGCCCCTAAGTCAGGCACGGGCTTTCCTTCGTTCTCCAGTATATGGTCCATGGCAGGTTGGAGTCCCCGGTTTCCTATCGCCTTCAGAGCCCCTAAAAGCAAGGTCTAGCAGGTTGAAAGGGAACTAGTAGTAGGGCCATATTCGTACACTCTACTCTCGCAGGATCGAAGCCCATACTCAGCAATGTGTCTTTATCTCCAGCCATTGGTATTGAGAGCCTGTTCTTGAGGTAGAAGGTTTTGAGGTGGTTTGTTGATTGAGGGCTGGGCAGTGAAGATTCTAAAGTGTGTCGCAAGACTAACACGGCGACGCGCACCCTAAGACGCCCGTGGCTATCGTAACCTGACGGCTTGGAGGCGCCACCTAAACATCTGCCCCATGGCTGAGTTGGTTACAGCGTCCGACTGTTACGATATCTGAGAAGATAACGGCAATCGGAAGGTCGTGAGTTCGAGCCTCACTGGGGCAGTTATTTTTTCCTCCGCTCAACTTCGGCCTGGTGCACTCTCAGATATTTTGAATCCCGACTTGATATTGACCTGATATGGAACCTTTTGTACATGAGTTCACGACAATTCGCGCAGTTCCGCTATACATCCTTTCAGTTTGAGTCTTGTAGCCTTGAGTGTCTGTCTTGCTTCACTTCCGCGCTAAACCCCGCTTTATTCTAAGAATTATCTTGCTCTCTAAACGCGACGATACTCTGAGTCCACCCCTCATCCAACTCGGCCTCGTCTGGTGAGAACTCCCCGTTCCACGAAGTTCGCTGCATAAGTAGTTCGGCCAGCTTATGCGACCTGGATGTTGCCCACCCTGCGTGGCTCATCGCGCAATCTCCGACATGGCATTTGTATTCCCCAGGGCTTGGAAGTTTCTCGCTTCCTAGTTCCTCGAACACACCCGACGCCAACACCCTCACATGGATGTCGGAAGCTATGGGCGCAAGGTGGTCCATGTGTCTGGTTATCTCTGCGAATTGCTGGAGGGTCTCATATCGGCAATCGCGCTGGACTGTGGACGGGGTGTCGTAGTCTATTCTCTTTGGAACATAACGTACGCCGAGGGTACGAAGGCGCGGAAAGGATAGATGCCCGAGGGATTGCAGAGCTGATTCGCCATCGGAGGAGAGATAGAGTGTTTGAAGACGGGATTCGACTGGTTCGTGACCAGCCTTCGATGCAGTGAAGATCGTAGAAAAGGTTGCGTGTAGAAGCTTTGGACACAGTTTCAGCACTATGGTGAGCATAGATGTCGAGAATGAACTGTCTATCCTGAGCTCAGTGAGCTGGTGGAGTGGAAGCCGTCTCTTGAGGTGCAGTCCCAGTGTAGAGTGAGGCTTGTAGTACAGTTTTGTGATAGTGGGTCGGGGGTGGCGTGCAAGAGCCATACAGACCTTCATAACGGCGCCTGCAGTGACGTCTATCAAGGCTAGGCCTTCTAGAAGTGGCGCTTCAATCTTGAAGGTGTTAAAGATAGAGTCAAAAAGGGGGTTTCGCTCGCCGATGGCTATTGTTTTCCATCGGTGGGCCTGAGCTAGCAGGGTGGAGGTGATTTCCGGGGATGAAGTTGGTTGGATGGCGTTGAAACAGAGCGGAACATTCTTTGAGTGCTCTAACCATTTGCTGAGCACGGATACCGAGGGATCTCTGAAATCTGCTTGAGAGTCCTCCTCAAAGGGTCCTAGGGAGTTCCTATGCATTGGGTGGATGGTAAACGTGGCCCACAGGCTTGGAAGCGTATCGCAGATGGCCTTCCAATGTTTACAGACCAGTAGAAGGACTGTAGGACTGTAGCTTGGCAATTTCGGGGTCTCTGTAAGGCAAGGGTAATGCAAAGGGCTTCTGTGCCCATTCTGCGCCCAGAACAGGAATATATTTGCCAAAATTTCGACCGGGAGATAACTGGAATCGATTCGAGGCCGAATAGCGTCCGCAGAGGGGATATATTTCTCCTTTTCTGCCATCTAGAGGTTGGGGATGGGGTTATAAGTTGGTCCTACTGATGACGGGGCGTTCAAGGTGACGGTGGTGAGTAGAACGTATTCGACCAGGAAAGAATCCTTAGCGCCGGCATCGACGGAGTTTGAATGTACGTGTGCGACAAAAGATGCCGAAGACTCGGACTTTGGCTAGCAACCTCCACCTCCTCAAGCCTTCATGGATCCAGCCCGAACAGTTGAAAAGAGCTATTGCGCTCTGTGTGACGGTACTCGACGGTTTGTGCCATGTGCGCGCAACGTCACAACGATACCTCGTAGTTTTGGAGGGCATGCCAACCCGTCCCTCCCGACCAAACCCGAACATGGAAAGCGAATACCAAACTGCCGTTCCTCAGGTAGCCGCCCAGCTCTCATGCGTTCATCTATTGATTATCACAGAATTGCCTAGTAAAGAGCACTGTATAGCTTAAGAGAAGTGAGCATTCGGAATTCATCACATTTGCTGTGTCTGAAGATCACCATGTTAGCATTGGCAGTGGTTACCACCCTGATAGGAATTCACTCAAGCCCACAGTGTCAACCTATGGCAGATGGGCGGCAGCTATTTGCCCTTCCTGAACAGATGCTAACGGGGTAACATCGTTGATAGCTCACCTCTCAATGCCATTGCTTCTTGGTTTCTTACTCTCACCGTCGCTAGCTCGACGCTCGCGCTTCGGCAGACACTTGCTGTCCATCCAGCCCTTTCATTCTTTTATTCGTTCTAGGAAGCTGGCTTCAACTATCTTTTGGGCCTGACGATAGCACTCGTCCTCCAGTATGGCCCATACCAATGTCATAGATCCCAACACAGGTAATTTAGTCCGGTTATTAATTACGATGGCCAAAGGCGCTCACAAAATCTGCTCTAGGGAGGGTTTTACGGGTCAATATCGTCCATGCATCTCACGCCCACGTCGTTCTATTCCTATTCTTCAATATGTGGCCAACATTTCTCGGACTCCCACTCCTGTTGGCGATAATCACGCTCTCGAAAACGATTCGAAGACATGCAACATTTATCAACCAGTGTGTCATGTATATCTTAATCGGACTGTGAGTAGGCTCAGTTCACACCGTACGGATGTTTCTTAGCTGAATTTACCTTTTGCAGTTCCTCCAGCCTGCTGTAAGAACTTCTTGTGCAGACGGACGATCGATGCTCAATTCGACGTATAGCTTGTTTTCAAGAAATGTCACAGGTCCAGAACCCGACCCAATGCTTTGTCTGTTCCAGGCATCCCTCGTATATGGAATGCCACCAATGTATGTTTTCAAACCTTTGCGCTGGAAATCGCCTCTAATGGCGCTTTATCCGCAGGGCCTCGACAGCCACCTGTATGCTGGTCCTCCAGGCGCGTGATTAGATTAAGAAAAGGGTCCTTTCCCTAAACTCTTCCTGCAGATGTTCTTCAAATTCAGAGCAGCTCACAACGGGAAACCTTATGAAGACGCGAAACACCGCGGGCGATTGTGGGCGGTATGTCGCAGCGCTCTTATCGTAATCCCAGGATGCTCATTTCCGCTGTCGGATCAGATGGTCATTTGTCCCTATGTCGCGTACTTTATCACCATCTTGGCTACAGCGATTGTGAGTCTTCGACTCCCGTTAGTACTTCTATTGCTAATCTTGTCGCATAGGTGGGGGCCAACGATGCGAACAGAGTCTCTCGGAGCCGCCGGGTCTTCTACTGTTCGGTCGAATCGGATACATTGTGCGTACATCCCTTCTGTCCCAGACTCATCCGGCTGATATGATATATGACAACTAGGACCAACACACTTACCAGCTACAGCGCCGTGGTCCTTCTCGTCACGATTGTTTTCGAAGGTATGCTCTTTCTGGTACAGAATAAATACCAAGGAGACTAACTGCAGGATAGTTTGGTCGATTGTTCTCCTTGTTCGCCACCGCAAGGTCGTTAAAGACAGAGGAGGAAGTTTACGTGGACTTGGAGTCCTTGACTTCAGCTTCTCAGTCAGGATCCTTGCCTTTGGCTTGTATATCGTCACAGCTATGAGGTGATACTTAGTTTCTAACGTTTCTATTCTGGAATGTGCAGCTGACTGCTTTCCCAGCCTCTGTCTTCTATCTGTCACTTCCCCCGCGTCACCCGTTCCAGACTTGGTTGTCGCCAGCGGTAAGCGACTCCCAACTCACCTCACCAACTTATTTCTCACTTCGTATGTTTCTTACCCAGGTGCAACAGTTATTATCCTCATTTTCGGAACGCAAGCCGTAAGTGTCCCAAATGATTCTCCGCAGTCTCCATCTCTAAATGATTTATTGATCGTCGCAGGACATCCTCAATGCCCTCTGCTTCTGGCGAAACTATCAATGGTCGCCATGGTGGAAGCCCGCGCCGCCTGTCGAACTCGAACCAAGCTTGATCGATATTGATCTCAAACACGCCTTTGATCCCGAATCCACCTATGCCCCTCCTTGCCCTAACGCAAAGAAGAAAACACGATCCCTATCAGACACCACGGATAGTACGACCCATTGAAGAAGTAACGTCAGAGATTCGAAGATCTCAGCCATTGCCCACTAGGATATATGTAAATTAATGTGTACATCAAAGGGCTTGTGTATGTACCTACAGCTAGTTTATAGCTCCTTAACGCAGAAGCTGCGATGCGTCGTGACGGCGTCCGAGTCGCAGGTCAACTCGCTGGACCTACCTATTTAGCTTAAGCCTTCTCCTAATCAGCTGTTGTGCAAATTGCTCACCAAGTAGCAAAGGTGAACGGGAGTCCGGTGGAAATACACGAAATCAACAAGTCGATCGTTCCGGCTATTTGTAGCCAAGCAGGACCTCGACATCAACATCAGCCTCTCGCAGCATCATGTATCATGCCTTAATCAGCAGATGTTATCCATAGAATTCCAGATTAAATAAGACAGTGCTACAATTACATTACAATAGCAGAACGAAAGCATATACAATGCATGAAATACGAAATATGATGTCGGGTTGGTCTAGAATTGCAGCTCCCAGGCGTCCCTCATGACCATGCACTATTGCCTGAAGGGCGGTATTGGCGGTCTGACGGGCTAGGTCCTCCATAGCCATGGCTGGCACCTGAGCTCCGTGGGCTTATTGCGCCAGGTTGTACAGAGTGTGCAATGGAGGGCGCATACCCACCAGTGTACTGTTGCTGCTGCTGTGGAGCATGCTGCGTTTGCTGACTATACCCAGTGTGGGTGGTATACACTGAAGCCGAGTCAGAAAACCCTTGCTGCTGTCGCTGTTGCGCATAATGTTGTTCTTGTTGTTGATAGTATTGCTCCTGCTGGGTCGGCTGATGACGTTTTTGCGACGGATCTTGCAATGGTACAGTTGGAATCAGTTCGAAAACACGCTGAGCGACGGCTTTGGTAGTGGTACGGTTTGGCCCGGGTGTTGTGATGACGCTGGTCATAACCGCGTGGACTTTGGCTTCCTGTCTGCCTTGGGGATCAGGTAACGGTTCGGAACCTGGTCGCGTCG